TGCTTTGTCATAATCTCCGAGCAGCTCATATTTCTCGAACAGRTCTTGTCTGGCTTGGACCACTTTTGACCCTCCCAGCCATTTTGTCATGTTCTGGACTAAAAAATGATGTATAAGCTCCTTTCGAACCCTCTTGGTAGCTCCTAGCAACTCAATTGGTATGTTTGCAGCTAAATAGGGAAAGCTGGCATCAAACTTGATAAATTTGTCTCTGATTTCACTAATAACTTTGTGGCCATCTGCAGCAGGAACTCTTCCATATAGTGTTACAAAACTGGCTTCAAACATTACAGAGCAGCAGAATTTGTACATTTTTTCTGTTTCCCAATCTGTTGCTTGTGAGCATTTCCATTCAAATATATCCTGGAGATTTTTCATCATGTGGTCAGAAATGATATCCAAAGGCTTGCCTTGTAGATACTGGTAGACTCTATGCAGGTTTTCTTTAAGATCTGGGAATTTTGCTTTAGACAAGGCCGGGTAGTCAAAAGTTTTGGAAGCCATTTTATTAGCAAATTCATGGAATTCAAGTTGCTTGCTATTTCGGATGACGTAGACATACTGAAATGGGTCCATGATAAATGTAATGTATCTACCTAAACAAAAGGAAAAAAAAAGAAAAAAAGAAGACACAAGTAGTTTTATAATATGATGATGCTTTCAGAAGTAAAATATATAAAAATAAATATAAAATATGAAAAAATACTCCAGTGTCTACGTTACATACTAAACACACACAAAATTCCAAAAGGCATCTGTAAAGCAATCTGCACTAAAAAAAAATAGAAAGAAAAACAAAATAAAAAAGGAAGAAAATAGGAAGATTTAGCAAGTTTTACTTAGCTTTGGAAAAGACACAATATTGATTCCTTTTGTCGGGATGCAGATTTTACCTCTGTACATTTCTACGACTCTTCCTCAAGCAGCATGAAGCCATCATGAACCATAGACTCATGTACTGCTTTTGACAACAGTGGGGGACCTGTAATTGTGGCACTCTGGAATAAATCATTTACCAAACTGGTATAACTCATGAAAATAAATGTGGAGCCACAGCAGCATTTGAAAACTGTATTTTTTTCAACAGCAGAAAGAGAGAAACACATATTTCACCTGGATAGAGGGGACTGATAGAGAGGGCTGGGAGCAGAAGCAGGTTTCCCAGGTTGTTAGAGCAGACACACYGAGACCCAAGGGGCAAGGGCTGCTGGCAACAGCTTCCACAAGGCTCATCCCAGAACTTGCTGCAGTCGGYGACGTTTTGGGCTGGCCCAGGACACTGGCTGCATGAACCTCTCCTCTCAAGGAGACCTTCTTATGTCATTCATACCACAAACGTCAGCATTTAAAGCCCCCCTCAAGTCTATTTTATTTTTCCTGAAGCTCTGCTACATTTTGGTCAAAATTTTGCTTATTATCAGTAAAACGAAGACCTCCAGATTTGATTTGGAAGACGTTGCAATGGAATCTGCTAACATTTTTAAGATGTGCCCTGTGCCGGGGTACATGCTCTCCTAGCCCTATCATCATCCACCGTGTTTGAATGTGTTGACAATGTCCTACCCTTTCTGCTGCACTTAATCATATAACATACTGCTACCTCCAGCTCTTTGCACAAAGGAACTGAATTATATCGTTTGGCTCCTTTTAAAGTTGCCCATGCAAGAAAAAAACTGAAATTTCTCCCTAAGCTTTGAGTCAACTACTAATAAAGAGCATTTTGGTGAACTACCATGAATCAAAATGTTAATAGTCCCAAAGCTAAGTTAAACCTTAACTCTTTATAGATGATTCCCATGTTAGGGCTAAATTTAGAGTTCCCAGTTCAGAACCGTGGACCGGCACATTAGGGAAAAAGGATACCCATTAAAATGTTCACATACTCTGTGAAATACCCTTGCTATAAACCTGGAAAAATATCAAAGCTTAAAGAACTCACAGTTTAATTCTGCCTCACTAAAGGGACAAAATCTCTTTCGATTTTAATGGGAACACTATATGCTTAACTAAGGACCAAATTTGGCTCTGTGACAGATGTCCTGAGATAAAGTAGTCACTACCACTAAAAATGTCAACAAGTATCCATGGTTACCATATAGTGATATTTGAATTATCATAGTTATTCTCTATTCAGACTTGTATATACTCACACTGCTCTGTGATAAATATGGGTGCATTCTGGACTTTCTTTGCAATAACCAGCTGGCATAATTTTCGCCCTGATTACATCCGCTGCAATCCCAATGAATCAGTAAGGATACACAAGGGATATATTAAGAAAGAATTTGACCCTCTTTCTTGTTAACAGTGTCTGAGGTTTTTTTAAGATACTCATAGAGTTTGCTTTACTGTAACATAAAAAAATAGACATGAGGTTTTTTTTTTTTTTTTTTTTTTTTTAAGAATATATATAGCATGAAATTGGCATGGCAAAGAGCTAAACCTGAGATCCTCAGTTCTCAGCTCTCTTTTACGACCTTTTCTCCTTTCTAAATCACAGAAACTGACAGGAATTTCTGGTCTCAACTTCTGCAGGATCTTTTTGTGCCTTGGCTAGAGTCCTCAAATCGCTCCTTCTTGTCCTTCCTCTCCCTGCAGTTTTCACACACTTTCATGCTCTTTACTGAGGCTACCATCTTTGTGATCAAAGCTTGGAAAGAATGCCCATTGGAGAGATTTTTAATAAATAGATTTGGAGTGTTATTAACCCTAAAGATGAAAGCTGGCTCCCTAACTTTGCATTTACAGGGTAAACATTTTAAGTTAAGATTTTTAATTAATATTAATTTAAACCATCTGTCCACCATCTGCTTATTTCTGATGCAAAATATGAGTTTCTTTGTGATCTTTAATCAGACACTTAGCAAACACACATCAGTTCTTTTCATTTTTTAAGTAAGAAAATGATTTCAAGCAAATGAGCTTGCAGGCATATGAACTATTTTAGTAATAATTTTTAATCAAAACTCACTTTATGATAGCACAATCACAAACTTTGGAAAAGAAAATCTCTGACAAAAATAACACTCCAGATCATGATTTTTATTATTCTCATCAGGTTCCTGTGAGTAAAAACTAAGTATGTACCAGAATGTAATTCACTTTGCGGAATGAATTCAGCCTTCAGACCACATCACTGCAGGTCAGCAATGTATTAAATGCGTAAAACAAAATACCTTTGTTACTGCATTTATTAAATGCCTACATAGGCAGAAAAGTTGAACATATTTATGCCTATAATAAAGGCAGCTTGTTTCTGTGCCTCCCAGAGAACCTACTTTCGAATCTCTTAATTAGAAAGAGACCAAATTAACTGCAAAAAGACCAATTAACTGCAGTTAGAAAGTCGTGTTGTACGAGTGGGAATGGCAGCCATTAGCAATCACAGTCATAGGAAGACACACATGCCCTGCAGTAAAAGACAAATGCAAGTATTTCCTCAAGATTCCAGTTATTATCCAGTATTTTAAAAATCAGCTTCCCCCATGGCTTTGCACTTCAGCTAGTCTCAGGAACCACCACCTCAAAGCAGCCTCCTCTCAAACAAAACCAAAATCCTGCTGCTTATGAGTTTGTATTTGACTATGGGTAAAGGTAAATTGCCAAATTAACTCCAAATTGAGGCAGATCGCAAACTCTTCAAATCAGAAAACTTTGAATTTTGAAACTATTCATACAGAAACCACTGGGGACAATAACTTTCCCTGTTAGACAGCAAGAAGTCCCTCTACAAAGAAAACACAAGCAGACATACCCATATAGAAATGTGTCACACTCCAAAATCAAGCAGTTTAGTACAGTGAGCTGTCTAGGAAACAAGTC